AACCCTAAACCCTAAACCCCCCTTACGTCTTACGCCTCTTGTCCTTACGATTCTTGCGTTGTTTCAAAGGTCGAACCTCGAAGTCTGCGCCCGGAGCCCGGTCAGGGATGGGCGTTCAAGTGGAGTGGCTTGGGCAAAAAACCAGATGCACGGAAGCTGAGAAGGTTTAGGGTTTATGGTTTAGGGTTTAGGGTTTCGGTTTACTGATTCAGCCTTAAGAATTTTACGTCGCGGCCTGTGTGACGAGACGTGGGCCGTAGTTGCAGGGCCTCAAGCTCCGGATGCCTCATCCCAGTGCCCTAAAAATCTTAGATTTTTACGGACACGTTGCTAGCTCCCGAATCCCTTCTACTCTGAGTCCCCACTCGCGACAGTCACCCCCTAAACCCTAAACCCTAAGCCCTAAACCCTAAACCCTAAACCCTAAACCCAAACCCCAACACACCTCAAACTGCCCCTGGGGCCCATCAAGTCAAGCAAGTGACCCATCGACAGCACAGACCCACAACCAACATCCAAAGGCGGAGAACCCCAAACCCTGTGACCGGAGCTTAAATCCGAGAGCATCCGGCGGTCCGACTCCATTTCTGGAGCTTTCTTCGTGTGTGGAGGTCCCGTGCGGACACCGGGCGGGTAGACCCCAAGCGATTGGACCCCACTGGGCACACCATCCACTCGGTTGAGGCCGGGCGGCATGGGAGGATGTTGACAGTTATTAGGTGCAAAATGGGCTCAGGGTCTAGGTCTGCTTGGCCCACTCACTACCCGTTGTGTGTTACAAGAGTGGCACAGAGTGGCATCAGCAGGCACACGCGGCTACTTACGAAGTGCACAACAGTCGTTAGAGGGAGGTAGCTTTTCATGCCCGTCTTGGTCGTGTTCTCCATGTCCAGCAGCATCCTTCACATCACCTCAATGATCATCGCCCTATCCCAAACACACTATCATCGCAATTGTCCTTGTTACCGCCCGAAACCACAGACCCGCAATTCAACCATCTTGACTAGCGCATCCTTGCGTGACGTCACTGGAACCTGAAACCCTAAACCCTAAACCCAAACCCCTAAACCCTAAGCCCTAGGAAGAAATAACAAACCCTAAATAAACCCTAAACCTAAAACCCGAAACCCTAAACCCTCGAGGCCCAAGAGATTGGAGGTCTTGAGGGCCTCCGGCATGAGTGAGAAGTCACTACACCGTGAACCAGCATCGGAGACATGTACTTTAGACAAAGAGTGCCAAAAAAGAGCTGCAAGGGTTCTAGGCTCTTTGGGCGTCTGTTGACATCGGTTCGACACGAATGTGGGATACTGGGATGGGGCCAACCCCTAAACCCCTAAACCCCCAAAGCCGAGCGAGCCACCCTGAATGACGAACCCAAATGGGAGCTTCCGAAAGTTAGGGGTACCGTATTTTGGCGTCCTTATAATAAGGATCCTACTATTTAGGGTACTACGGTAGGGTCCCCTATTTTCGGAAACACCCAAATAACCATGAATTACTTACCAGGTCTCCGCCGTGCGGAACCTCCGCGGCTTCCGTTTCCCAGCCGCCATGGACGCTGCCGAACGTGCGGAGGCGCAGTAGGAACAGAAGGTTCCTATGAGGGTTCCTCTTTTGAGAACACTGTAGTGGAAGAGCAATCTGGTGCAGGACCCTTATCGCTTCACAGTGCATTTGTGGCTCATGGCACAAAGGCAGACTACCATCTTCTAAGACGATCTAGAAGTACGCCCCAAACCCTTCCAGTGTCCAGGAAGGAGAAACCTGACCATTGAGACGTTCCTGCATCCTTTGTCCCAGCCCACAGGATACTCCGCTTGGTCAGGTGGATTTTGTTTTACCTAGCGGCGTAGCGGTTCTCACAACCCCTATCGAACCCCGGAGCTGGGCTTGAACTTAACCCTGAACCCGTGGACTCCTAAGCCCGACATCGTAAACCCAAACCCCCATTGTGCGACTGTGTGTGTCGAAATTCTTCAGCATAGCAGCGTTAACCTTTGCACGCCCCGAATCAGTTTCAGCACTGCAAAGAAAATCTAAACAGAACCCAAAACCGTCCTACACCCCAACGGCTTCAGGCCGAGATAGTACGACCCAAGGCAACACACTACAACCGTAACCCAAGGTCCTGCCACAAGGGATCCCAAAACCTTCGTCATTGGAGCTTCAAACGCCTGTGCAACACGTTAGAAACGCCACAACGCAACTCCCTACAAATCCAAGTGGAATCTGATCCCTAAACCCTAAACCCTAAGAATTCCACCATGTCATAATCTTAGACGAAATTATCAGTCCCCAAGCCCTTGCATGCTGCACATGCGGGCCGTAAATGCGACACTGTCAAAGAAGCTGCTACGAGAATGGCAGGGTCGGACCCTTGACGTGCTTCGTTCGACGCGGTTCTTGCCCACGGCCCAGCTCTTCAGTGCCGTGTGGAGAGTATTCCTGCAGGAGTTGCAGGACGCAAGCCGGATGGCGATCGCCGCATACCTGCGCAAAGAGTACATCCAGGAGGTGGCGAAGGACGTGCTAGAAAAGAAGTTCACTTTTCGGGAAGCAGCCCTCGCAGAGCTGACGTTGCTCTGAGGAGACTTCTGGAGTGGACTTTTGTGCTCGCATCCAGGCAGCGTGACTGGTACACAGGCGGTAGAAGCATTCCACAGCTTCTGGCAAGAGCAGCTCCAGAGAAAAAAGCACCCAACTCAAGGAATGGCTCGAGCACATGCAGCAGGACGACGCACCGGCAAGACCGCCCTTATGGCCAGCAAGTGCAGACCCTTTGTTCCTCAGCGGCACAGGCTTGCATCTGCTGGGGGAGAACTCCGCCGAAGAGTGCTGGGACGCCCGAGACAAGCAGAATGTGCAGAAGATTGTGGACCAGGAGACCAACACAACCTTTTATGTCATGCGTGCACGCAAGACCGATGCGGAGGAACCGGCAGCCGCCAATGTCAGCCCCCAGATCGCCAAGCACATCGTAGGTCTGATAAAAGGGGCGGGCACGGAACTCGTGGATGTTCTGTGGTCTGCTGGCATTATCGAGAAGTCCGTCAAGGGAGCCGCGAAACTCAGTGTAACCAACTTGGATCTTTTGTTCCAGTGTCACTGTGTCGTGATGCGGAGGAAGCTTGCGGAGAGGTACTATCCGCGCCTGTACAAGCATGTGGACGCGCAGGAGAAGACTCTGTGCTCATGCGGCACTTTCGGCCAAAGGGCTCAGTGCCAGCACGTATGTTACGTGCAAGCGCACAATGAGGAAGTTGATTTGAACGCGCTTCATGAGAGGAAGAAGCCGGGTCGGCCCCCGAGACGGGCGCGCGACAAGACCGGCAGCGGTGGCACGAAGAAAGACTCCGGCACGTCCAGGAAGCGCCGGGCGACGTGAGCAGTGCACAAGATCGCTTTCGTGCGAGTCTCAGCAAAACAGTTCCCGGCTCGGGAGGCTGCTGCATCAGGAGGCATACGCCCACCCCCCATCCCCACAGTGTGTTTGCAAATTTACTAGCAGTGCTACTACTAGCACTCTTGTTATTAGTAGCACGACAACGACGACGACGGCTTGTGATCTAGATTGATTTTGCTCGTTATTTACGAATGATTGCGGCCCTAGACCACAGTTGCGATACGGCTTCGTGTGGTGCACATCAGTCTAGGTTCACGGCAGGGTTGAGAGTCGTGACACAAAAACGTCGGGCACGGGCAGTTTTTTTTCCTGCTGTCGGTGGCTTGCCACAGTCGTTCAAGAAAGCGCTTGGCACTGGCTTCCAGCTTCTTTGCGGAGTTTGTCGTTTTGCAACTTATTGGGAATACTCGAAGGAAGACTGCAAAAGTACTGCTTGCTTCGCTTCCATTGCTCTGGCAGAACGGATGGGGTATCGGTGGACGTTAATATCATGGTTTGGACATGGATGCTCTGGCAGAGCGGACGGGGTATGGGCGGACGTTATCACGTTTGGGACATGGATGCTTTGGCAGGACGGATTGGGTCTGGGTGGATGTTATCATGGTTGGGACGTGGATGTTCTGGCAGACCAGACGGAGTTTGTGGGAGCGTTATCAATCATGGTTGGGACATGGATTCTCTGTGGGACCGGATGGAGTTTGTGGAACGTTATCACGGTTGGGATATGGATGCTTTATGGGAACGGATGGAGTTTGTGTGGACGTTATCATGGTTGGGATATGGATGCTCTGCTGGACCGGATGGAGTTTGTGGGAAAGTTATCATGGTTGGGAAGTTGGGATATGGATTCTCTGAGACCTGAAACCCATGAAACAGGTCGGAATATGACCCACACGGGCGGAAAATAGACCCAAGACAGCAAACAGGCAGAAAAAAGACCCAAAACCGGCCAGCCCCTTGAAGCCTTTGCCGGTCTTGAAAGATCCCGTCAATCCTGCACTTAAAGCGTACGATAGAAAACCCTAAAGCCTAACGGACCAGGCCGAATCCTGCACACGACGTTCTTAACTCAACAGTAATCGTTTAGTTTTGTAGACCCCAGCCACGTAAACCCCAACCACGACCAAAAAAACAACCCAGACAGAAAAGGGGCCTCGGAAAAAGAGCCGAGCACGGACAGGGCGGCAAAAGACCCAGAACAGGCGGAAAAAAGATCCAAGCAGCAACCAGGCGGACAAAACAGCAAACAGGCGGAAAAAAGACTCAACACAGCAAACAGGCGGACAAAAAGACCCGAAACCCATGAAACATGTCGGAATAGGACCCAAACAGGCGGAGAAAAGACCCAAGACAGCAAACAGGCGGAACAAGGACCCAAAACCGGCGGAGGAAAAGACCAAGCCCGTCAAGACCTAGTGATAGTGATACCTTTATAGTTCCACATAGTTACAAAGAAATCATACTGCAACACACTTTGGAGCCCTTCAAGACGCCGCAACTGCGAAATCGACTCTCTTCTGCGACCCCTTTGAAGAGCCCCTTAGCAATGATTCGATGCCCTGTATGTTCAATCCTATGCGAACCTTTACTTTTCCCACATCCAGAAGCACTTATGTAAAACCTTAGGCGCCTCCGTGGCCGCCCCCTTCCAGGTGGAGATGCTCGTCGCCAAAGCGATCCGGGGCTTAGCCCCGGCTGTGACAGGTCAGGGGTTTGAGGTTTGGGGTCCAGGGTTTAGGGTTTCAGAGGCTTCAGGGTTTTGCTTTGCTTTTTGGTTGAGTTTTCGTCTAGTTGTTTTTGATTTTGGGTTTTGTTGGATGATTTCTCGGGAGTTTTTACACATTCTTGCATGGGGTGTTCCTTCAGGGTGCATAGGGTTTAGGGTTGGGCCATCTGATTGAACAAGGTCGAAGAATGTAGTGCCAACGACACTTTCAGCTTGTGCAAGCACGTGGGCCGTCAAAAATGGTTGCTTAAGAGCATTCTTGTTGCAATGTTTCATGTTTCCACGGCATGGTTTGGATATCATTGCAATACCTGGATGGACCTCTTACAGCATGTTGGGTTTGTTGTTCCCCAACCGTTCTTCTTCAACATGTCTGGTATGTTTCTACTTTGCTTGGTGCAAGGAGCCGTTTGGCTCAACGAGCTTTCTCTAGACTTTAGAATGGCTTTGCTGTGCATCAAAATTGAAGACATCTCCGGGATTTGGGATTCAAGTTTTGCTTGTTGTTGGGTTGGTTCCGCACGATAGAGACCCCCACAGATCCTTGTTAGCCTTATTATAGTTGCCAGAGTGTACACACAGACCCTATTCTAATTCTCCAGGCTCCGGTCGTAAGCCAGTATGCAGCAACCTTTGCTCAGGCATCATACGTTTGCTTCGCTAGAACCCGCTGCCAGCGGCCCTAAACCCAGAAAGCCTTTGCTCGAGTTGCGAGAGTCCTAACCCTATGTGTGAGGTGTGAGGGAAAAGGTCTGATGTGTTATGCTAGGTTAGGTTATGTTGTGTTTCGTTAGGTTGAGACTTACGGCACGCCTTTCTGTGCGGCACCCTCCCCCAAGGCAGCAGCAGCCAGCACTCTTCTCTATTTTTGCGCTGTTTCGCAGTGTCTCCGAGCCTTTAAGCTCCTAAACCCGGACCACCGAAAATGTTGACGAGTACCCACCGTAGCTTCATGTCACATCGCGAGCTATTTTAGAGAACTGGACACTTATTATACGAGCTTCTAGTTAAGATGCCGTAAACTCTATTCCTTGTTATAAGGACCCCTTAAACCGTAAACCCTAAGCTAGGCAAAAAACCCTAAAGCTAATTCCTAAACCCTAAACCCTAAACCTAGGGAAAAAACCCTAAGCTACCCTAAACCTTGAAGCACCAGGTGTGTATTTTCCGCTCCGGCAGTCGACCAGCTACATGCCCAGACTAGGCCTGGCTGGGGATCCGACCCAAGTCGACACCCCAGAGTCGTCGGCTTAGGGTTTAGGGTTTAGGGTTTAGGGTTTAGGGTTTAGGGTTTAGGGCTTTAGGGGTTTAGGGCTTAGGGTTTAGGGGTTTCGGGGTTTGAGGGAAAAAGGTTTATCTTCAAGCCCTGCATGCAGAAGTGTCGAGCCAGTCCGGGCCAGGGGGCACAGAAAAAGCCCTCCTGAAGCTTCAGGAGGTTAGGGCTATTGGGTGAAAAGGAAGCCCATCCAGTTCCAGCAATATCCCTAAATCTAAACCCTTAACCCTAAACCCTAAACCCTTAACCCTAAACCCTAATCCCTGAACCCTCAACCCTAATCCTTAAACCCTAAACCCTAAAGTTTCTTGCAGGTGGCATGGACGAGTTCGAGGAAGCGCGCCTCCAGGCATCCATGCCGCCCGAAGCTCCGAGTCTTAAGGGGGTCAGGGCTCAGGCTTTCGCTTGGGGCCTAGCTTTGTGTGGTACCTGATTAGGGTTTAGGGTTTAGGGTTTAGGGATTAGGGTTTAGGGTTTAGGGTTTAGGGATTAGGGATTAGGGATCAGGGATTAGGGTTTAGGGTTCAGGGTTTAGGGGTTGCTTAGGGTTTCGGGTTTGGGGAGGCCATGGCATTAGCCCGCTAGCCTCGTTCCCGACACCTGCTCCGAACTTCTGAGGTGCTCCTAAACCCTAAACCCTCAACCCAGGCATGTCTGAGTGTGAGTGCTGCAACCCGAGGCCCCAAACCCCAAACCCCAAACCCCAAACCCTAAACCCTAAACCCTAAACCCTAAACCCTAAACCCTAAACCCTAAACCCTAAACCCTAAACCCTAACATGGGTTTTGTGTCCCCACCCCACCCTGAAAGCCTTCTCATGAGACCGTCCTTCTCGACTCCGAATGGGCCCCCAGGATTCCACGAGCCTTAACAGAACCTTCCGTCCATAAACCTTACATCAACAGCCGGGAAACTAAACCCTAAACCCTCAAAGATGGGAGGCAACAAAAACCCTTAAAGAAAGCCTTATATACACCCGCTAGATCCCCAATGACGCCTCTGAGCCGTGAAGCTAGAAACCCGGCTGCAAGCTGCCTGCCCAAGTTCCTTTCAATCTGACAACGCCCCAGTTCTTGATTAAGGTTTAGGGTTTAGGATTTAGGGATTAGGGTTTCGGGTTTAGGGTTACGCCAAACCCGAAACCTCTCAACCTCAATCGCTCGACAAATCCAAGATACACCGTCATCAAGCCCTGTAAAGCCCACGGGCACAAGACTATGAACACACAACCGTGCAGAATAAACCTCGTGCAAAGACCCTCTATACAGCCGCTTGAAAAGCCACCGATTAACACCGTCTCAAACCCGTCTAAATACCTCTCTCATGCGATCTTGTAAACACCCCACTGGAATTGCCCTCTCTTGGAACCCTCACAGTATCATTGCAGGAACCCTAAGTGGCACCACAGGGGCCTTAATATTTGGGGTGCTATTCCTTGGGGTTCCTTATGATGCTCTGATCCCTGAGGCCCCTCAGTTAGTATACCATTGCTTCAAAACCCTTAGGGGCTCGAACCCTACACCCTAAAACCCTAAACCCTCAACCTTAGACCCTAAACCCCAAAATCCCTAGACCCCAACTTACGTGGACCCCTAAACCCTAAACCCTAAACCCTAAACCCTTCACAGTTTTTTCTCTGCCAGGCCGCAGGGCTTCACTTCGGCCTGCCCGAGGATGCGGCGGCGCTGGCACTGGTGCCCAGCTTCTCTGGGCTTCTTTTCGGGGGGTGGAGGGTTAGGTGGGTTTAGGGTTTAGGGGTTCAGGGTTAGGTGGGTTTAATTAGGGTTCAGCTTCTCTGGGCATTTTTTCGGGGTGGAGGGCCCAAGGGTTTTTGGGGTTTAGAGTTTAGGGTCCAGGGCTTTTAGGGTTTAGGGTTTTGGGTCCATGGTTTTTAGGGTTTAGGCTTGAGAGGGTTCAGGGTTTGGGGTTGATGTTTAGCGTGCCGGTGCTTGCGTGTCGGCCTCAATGAAGATGGAGTGCAGGTGGGGGTTTCCGAAAATAGGGGACCCTAATATAGTGCCCTAAATAGTAGGATCCTTATTATAAGGACCCCAAAATAAGGCCCTAAACCCTAAACCCTAAACCCTAAACCCTAAACCCTAAACCCTAAACC